TGACCAAATCACTTACTGAACCCCTGACTCCCATCATAATCAACTGCATTTTATCTATAGTCAATCTGTGTCCAGTCTTTTTGGTAAAATCTTTTTGGCAGCTGTTATGAGAAAAGCTAGAAGAGGTTGCAAGCACCTGGATACTGTGTTAATGGCCAGTACCTTAGCTATATCTATTATTGGTTTTTATTTTTCAAGCTACCATTAAGTGCCTCAAGCAAAAGGCCTCCCATGGGTGCCCTTAGAAGACCACCCCCTGCCGAATGAAACCTGCTGGCAAGGTGCAATTCCCTGCTCTCATATTTCGTACTTCCTCTCCCACCTTTGTGCTTTCACCATCCTTAATGCATCACTTGGGTCACATCCCTGACATCCTCTTTCCCACAGTCCCTCCCTCGCCCCGAGCATTTTCACTTCCCTTCTCTGAATATTGTCTAATTTCTCCATATCTTTCTAGGGAAGGATTGTCCAGAACCAAACACAGCATCCTCATTGAAGTTCCTGCAGGATGAGAGCACGAGAGGCTATCAGTCTTTGGGTGCATCTACCCATGCACGTTACTGTGGGGTTGACTAATTAGCTCCACAGTAAAGCATCACCAGCTACACGTGCGCCAGTATTAGAGCACAGTAAACTAATTAACTCTGCTGTAAGTTAGTACTGTCCCCAACAGTAATATCTCAGGCAGAGTAGTTAACGCTGCTAAAATGCATGTGTAAATAGTGACAGGGGCTGGCTAGGGCACGAGGGTGATAAATCTGGGGGAAGAGGGGGCTGCCTGCTCCCACACTTTAGCACCCTTGTGCCCCAGCCAGCCCCTCTACCACCCAACGTTGCCATCCAGAGCCCAGGACTAACTCCCCAAGACTGTTGCTAGCCCAGGGCTGCTCCGCCGCAGCTCAAAATGCTGCTGTCCTGGGCGCGTGTTTAGATGCTGCATTTGGAAGCAGTGTACTCCAGCACAAAATGCACCAGAGTTTATCATAGCACACTCATTGCACATGTAAACGCATCCTTTGTGATGCTTTGCCTTTGAACACACAGGCCCAAAATGTCACTGGCCGTGTTTCCTGCCCGAGTGCATTGAAATCCATCGCCCAGTTTGCTTTCAGCCATCACTGCTAAATTATACTCCATGTTGCCATGTCCTGATTTTCCACCCTTCCACTGAACACGGGGAGGAGGGGGTCATGCATGGGATCAACAGTCTGTAGAGTCGGGGATCTTGGCTCTGACAACAGCCAATACCAGAAGTTTCTGAATAAAGTAGAAAGTCTTTGCAATGAACCACCAAGGGATAAGATCCGGGAAAAGAAGTTTCTTACTAAACTTAGGAAGCTGGTAGATGATTTTTATTTTTAATGTCAAAAGTTGGGATAGCAACTAAGTTGTGCATCAACTTTCCCACCTGGAAAATGGCAGTGTTAATCCTGATCTAACTCCTTAAGGCGTGTTTTGACATCCTCTGCAATGCTGGCAAGCTGTGTGCGTGCGTGTGTGTGTGCATGAGTGTGCGTGAACACAGAAATCTTTCTCCCTCCCTCCATGGCTATATGGGGTGGGGGGGGGGGGGTTTCTACCTTGCTTTACAGAAATAGGAAGCTATTTACCATTTTTAGCTTGACCTATATACACTGCACCTACATTTTTCTTATCCTGTGGGTGGGGTTTGGGCATTTCTGTCCCAGATTGGATCTCTCCCTCTATCCCCCACTTAAAAAGCCTCCCTGTTAATGAAATGTAGGAGAGGGAGGAGTAACGATGATGTAATATACCCATTTTACTGAGTTTCTAAGTTTAAATGAGCTTGGCTCCACCCAGGAGCTGCAATCCTTTGGGTCCTCGAAGATGGGAAGAAAGGGCAGGGGGGTATAAAACCACCCACAGGCTGAACACCCCCCTGCGCACACACACACTTTGCCATCAAAATGCAGCATCCGGTTTCTCCTGGCATCCCTTTCTCTCTCTAGGATCACCTCTTGGTGGTGTGCGCTGCCCGTCTGGTCCTGCAAAACCCATGCTGCAGCTGGTCCAGGGCTTGCCTGGGAAATTCAGGCAGAGACGCATCCCCGTACGGTCCTCCGCAATCAGTGCTGTCTGCCCAGAAGGCCCCTCCAGCATCACAACTGACCCCTCCTCCTCCTCCTCCTCCTCCTCCTTTTTCATCTGGCTGCATTTTTGATCCTGATGCTATTTTCCCCCCACTCCCTTCCCTGTGTTTAGTTAAATTTCCCCCGCCTTTGTTGATGTCACATCCTGTTTCTAACATCCATCCCCTGCTAGTAGCCACTGCCTTCCAATTCCTTTTTTTTTTTTTTTTTTTAATCCCTGTCCTCCCTCCATCAGCCCCCCTTTTCAAGGCAAACTTTTGGCAATAGCAGAGATAATCATTTCGTGCTCCGTTGAATTTCTCCTCGCAAATGTCTTTCGATCAGGGGAGCCATTAAAAAAATAAAAAAATTAAAAAAAATTAAAAAGCCAGGGAGAAAGCCAGCACGGAGAGGAGAGAAGAGAAACTGGAATCTCAATAAATATGCAAAGTGAAGGCTCGACTAAGCAGATTTCCTGCATTGCCTTCTCAGGGTGCTGAGAGCCACTGAGAGAATAATCATAATAGATATCTATATTATTATTATTATTATTATTATTATTTTTTTTTTTTAGAAAAAAAATAATAAGAAAGGACTGGAAAGGAAGCAAGGGAGTCGGTGATCAACGCAGGGGAAAAAAAATAACCCAGGACGAAAGCGGGGAACTGCATGCAAGGTGCCTGGACCTGTGTGCAAGAGATGCAACCTGCAAGCAAGCTTTTGAGCCTCTTCTTTCTCATCTTGATGGGCACAGAACTAACTCAAGTAGGTTTCTTTCTTTCTCTCCCCTAACGCCATTTTCTATTAAAGCTATAGAGTACAAAAGAAACTAGTGTAGCAAACTGCATCTTTTCTTGCAATTTCCCCCCCTCCTACCCCCACCCCCACCCTCCTTTTGGTAGCATGCAATAGAGGTCATTCATCAAATCCCTCTCCTGTAGCTCGGGCAAGGGATGTGGGGGAGTGCAGGGCATGGGGGCAGTAGGGGTGGATGGATAAGGTGTGTGGAGTGGGCAGATTGGACTGAAAAGGGGTGAGGTGGGGAGGTAAGGGGGGAGGCAGCTTTCATAGTCTCAGATCTGCTGTGGATTTTGATTTCAGCCAGAGTCTGCGGGGGTGTTGGGTATAACTCTGCCCCCACCCCCTAGGCACACTCACTTCAATTAAAAGTTGAAATTCAGGTAGAGGAGAAGCTGGGGAGAGTGTGATGTGACTGCCTTTTGTTTCACCAGGAGAGAGAGGTGCAGGGATTCAGTAATTATCACCTGGCACAGCATTTCAGCAGGCAGGGCTGCTGAGATCCCTCCTGCCTTGATTGTTGGCTCCTTTGAAAAGTCTAGCATTAAAGATGAGGCTGTTAATACAGGGTCAGTCAAATTCCCAGCTTGTGAATGGGCAGTCAATGGGAATGTGTGCGCTGTCCATCACTTTGCAGTGTGCAGTAGGAGAAAGTAGCCTGAACGGGGTAGGGGGGAGTCTATTATTGGTAAGTTAGGGTCTGTCTCTGTTTCTGTCTGCCTATATATGTTGTGTTTTCCTCTGTATGTACGTGTGATTCCCCACTGTAATTGCTTCTGCTGGATTCCTCCCTTCTCTTTGCATAGATGCATTTGCTGGTGTGGGGGGCAGCTGCACTGATTTAACATGCCGTTTAAATGGCCCTTGATGTGTCCATCTGTGACACGCTTGAGGCTGATCGTCCACACGCACATACA